ATGGAGAATTTTTGGGCACAATATATCACGGTTGTTTTGCTCCCTTTCAACTTTCGTCCCGTGATCTCTCTCTAGGGCTGCCAAGTGAGGGCGGGTGGCGGGTAACCCCCGCTTTGGAAGCTCGATTTCCGCCGCCGCAGAATCGGGCCCCGGGGGAAACCCCGACCCCTGAAGCGCAGCGTGGCTGCGTCACTGGAGGTGACGCAACCACATAGAGCTCGTTGGGGGCGTGGCCCCGATCGGCAGAGGGAAAACTCTATGGTTTTCCCTCGGCCAATCGGGGCCATGCCCCCAATGTGCTCTACGTCGTGCGTCACTTCCTGTGATGTGCAGGTGCGTGCGCACACATCCCGCAGCAACTCCCGGAGCCAAGAGGCGGTCCCCCACCGGTGAGTACAAAGGACTTGGCAACCCTATCTCTCTCCCTTGGTTTGCAATCTCCAGGTGGAGCCTGGAATTGCAGCTCATCTCCAGACTACAGAGATCAGTCCCCGTGGAGAAAACGGCTGCTTCGAAGGGTGGCATTATACCATATTGAGGTCTCACCCATCCACAAACCCCAATATTCCCAGGCTCCACCCCCCAAAACGCAAAGAATCTCCCAACCTGGAGTTGGCAACCCTACTTCTGACCCCCAAAAACATAATTTCCAGGGTAGGGGAACCTCAGCTGCACAGCGGTTGGGGGGGGCCCTGGAGTGAGGAAGTACAGGGTTAGAATCATTCCTTCAGTCTCTTCCACAAGCCCAGCTCTGCTGAGAATGGGGTGATTTTGTTCTTTCTCTCTCCAGCCCCCCTGGCCCACCTGGCTTTTTTCTCTCAGTGGTTCCCGAAGAGGCTGTATGAAAGCTGAGGAATGTGGGGGTGTGCCTTCTGTGCATAGATGGTTGGATACAGGCGGTTATACCTATCTTCAGGGGTCATTTCATAGAAAGAGAGGTGCAGGAGCTCATTAGCATAACTCATTAGCATACCTTATTTGCATATGCCACACCCCCTGACATCACCAGAAGTGTGTCAGAGGGCAACACCCACTGCTCAGGCTCCACTGGACTGTTTTGGATTGCTAGCTATTGTGTGGGGGATCAGATCTGTCCTCGCAGAGGAGGGAGAGCTTGTACCTGAATAAAACTTGGTCTTCAAGGTGCCACTGGACTGTTTTGGACCGGGGGGCTGGGGGGGGGCTCTGCAACTTACCTGGCTGCTTTTTGCTCTGACTGAGGGCTGCTGGGAGCAGAGGGTGTGGCTTGTTGCATGTGCCCACCCCCTGGGCTCTTTACTGCCGGAGCGCCACTCCTGTGCGCCCCTGCAGGAAATGACCCCTGCCTATCTTCATCTTAAAATGGAATTCACATTTGCCACTTAAAGATATATTTTTTTTAGCCCCTCTCTTGTTATGGTGTGTGTGTGTGTGTGTGTGTGTGTGTGAAAACAAATCTGGACTTATGCAGGAAGATGGATTTACAGTTGTAAGTCAGCCCCCGTGCACTGTCTAATGCACATGTGATTTGGGTCTAATTGTGGTGGAAGTGGTTGGAAAATACAGTTGCTGGAGTATCGGCCTTTAGTTTTCAGAGCAATTGAAGTGGGTTCAAAAGGCTTTACCAGTTCCAAACACTTTATGATAGCCCTATCCTCACGTACCTGCTAACCAGCAGGAGGGTTGGAGAGAAGATATTGTGTGTGTGTGATGTTGGCTGTACCCTGTGTCACTTCTGGGGAAAACAATAGGGTAGCTCTAGGAATACTATAGAGATTTAAGGTCGCTCTAGGAAAACCACAGAGCTTCTGGAGATTCTTAGAGCTACCTTATGGCACTCCCAGGTTTCCCCCTGTTTTTAAAAATCTGCACAGCCAACCAAATCTTCAGCGGTCCCACCCACATTCTAAAGACACTTGCCAGGAGCCAGGAAACATGTCGGCCGGTGCCACGGTGCCCATGAGCGCGATGCTGGGGACTCCTGTCCTAGCCAAGCATTTATGGTGAGCTCCAGTCTCCTTCTTTGGAGCACTGGAATATCCCCTTCAGCTGGTCCTTGGCGTGCTTCGGCCCCAAGCCTGAGGTGCTGCAGTGAGGGCCTGGCGGTGCTCTAGGCAGGAGTGACTCTTGATTTCAGCCGCACAAGGAGACAAAAAGTAACACAGGAAGTCTCAAGGTGTCCAGGCCTTGGCTGACCAACATGAAAGGCAAGCCCCTATGAATCCCACAACCCCAGGGCGATCGTTCCGGTGCCCCGGGCTGACTGCTGCTACACCAGATGGACAAACAGGATCGGCGCTAGAGTTGCCAGAGATCTCCCAGAATCACAACTTGTCTCCAGACAACAGAGATCAGTTCCCCCGGAGAAAAATGGCTGTTTTGGAGGATGGACTCTGTGGCATTACATCCAGGGGTCGTTTAGTAGAAAAAGAGCTAGGGGAACTAATTAGCATAACTCATTAGCATATGCCACACCCCCTGACATCACCGTAAGTGTGTCATAAGGCCACACCCCCTGCCATCACCGGAAGTGTGTCATAAGGCCACACCCACCACTCAGTTAGTCTTAGTCTTAAAGGTTAGTCTTAAAGGTGCTATTTGTTAGTCTTAAAGGTGCTATTTGAACTCTTGGACTATTTTGCAGCAACAGACTAACACAGCTACCTCGGGGAAGCTCCTGGATGGGGCTGGGAGTCCTTGCGGAGGCCACGTGGAGTGGCCTCGGCCAGGCAGAGGGGGAGGACGCCAGCTTACCCTCCTGCTTCTTCCTCCTTCTGCAACAGAATGATGCTGGAAGCAGGGGGCGGCCGGAAGAAGGGGGCAGGGCTTCGTCGTGTGCCCCGCCCCTCACCCGGGGGAACTGCGATCCCCCGCGATCTCCCCCGAATCGACCTCTGATTACATCCCGCCGAGGCACCTCCCCTCTCCAAACCCCACCCTCTCCAGACTCCACCCCCAAACTTCCAGGAATTTCCCAGCCTGTAGTTGCAACCCTCATCGACGTGGATGGCAAAGCACTCCAGCAGTTAAATCTGAACGGCAACGGCAGCGCCCCCACCCCAGCATGAGAGTTTGTGACTTCATCAAAAAATAACTTTCCCCCCACCCAGTTCCCTTACTAACTACTGTTGTTGCTTCTTGAAGCGGAATTCGGAAGCATCCAAAGAATCTATACAGTAAAGTCAAAGACCCCCTTCCTCTTCGTGATTACTCTATTACACAGGGCTGAATTTTTTAACTCATCACTTCAGAAGAAGAGAAGAAATTGGATTTATACCCCACCCTTCACTACCCGAAGGAGTCTCAGAGCGGCTTACAATCTCCTTTCCCTTCCCCTCCCCACCACAGACACCCTGTGAGGTAGGTGGGGCTGAGAGAGCTCTTTTGAGGACTGCCCTTGAGGGAACAGCTCTGAGAGAACTTGTGACTGACCCAAGGTCACACCAGCAGCTGCCTGTGGAGGAATGGGGAATCAAACCCGATTCTCCCAGATTAGAGTCTGGGCTCCTAACCGCTGCACCAAACTGGCTCTCAGGTGACCACCCCCCCCAAGACATCCTCATCCCTGCATCATGGAGAAAGGAAAGCAGGTCTGACGCTGGAGACAAGTGTTACCCTGGGCTGAGGGGTGGTGACTGGCTGTGACCATCTCCCAGGCCAGAGTGGCCATTACAGATATTGAAAAATTCCCAGGTGAATTTGGGGCCTGCATCCTGCACTTGGGCCACGCCAGTCCAGGGTAGAAGAGTCGAGCTGGCCTGGGGAAGGTGGCTCCCGCCCTAGAGAAGGTGGCGCCTGGCTAGCATTGGACCATTTCTGCAGTAGTGACATTCCCCATATATTGACGTTTTAAAAACTGTGCGTTATGTGACATTTTCTGCAGTAGATTTTTCCTCACCAGGCGCAAACGTGAAGTTTTCTCCTCCTTACCCCGCATTTTTGGAATCATGAGTTTTAGCGAGTTCCGAAAATGTGGGATAAGAAGGAGAAAACTTTTGGTCAGTGCCTGGTGAGGAAAAATCTACTGTGGAAAATTTCACAGAACACGTGGTTTTAAAAATGTCAATGCGGGGAATTCCACTACTGCGGGAAAGGTCTGTGTCTCCCACAGCCAAGGCTAAGCAGCGCCTGGCTGACACAGGTCTGCTCCCAGCACAGGTGAGCCAGGTGCAGGGCTCCACAGAGCTGTGGGACAGGCTGCCTTCTTCTCCCTCCCTCCCTCCTTTGTGTGTGTGTGTGTGTGTGTGTGGGAACTGGATGGATTGTTTTCCAGGGCTGTTGTTTTCTTCCCATTCCATCTCTGCTCCACCCCCTGCCTTTAGACATATAGTGAAGGTAAAGGTTTCCCTTGCCCGAAAGCCAGTCGAATCCAACTCTAGGGGGTGGTGCTCATCTCCGTTTCCAAGCCAAGGAGCCAGTGCTGTCCGAAGACATTTGCATGGTCGTGTGACATGACTAAACGCCGAGGGGCACGGGACACTTTTACCTTCCCACCGGAGTGGTACCTGTTTATCTACTTGCAATTTCTTGCGTTCGAACTGCTAGGTTGGCAGGAGCTGGGGCCAGAGACGGGAGCTCACTCCGTCACATGACACTCGGGTCTCGAACTGCCGAGCTACCGACCTTCCGGTCTGCAGCTCAGGGTCTTACCCTCTGAGCCACTGCAGCTTATATACCCCCATACTAATATCCTACTTCCCCCAAATCCAAATATTCTTTCTTAGAATGAAGTAGGCAAATGGAGAAAAATTATGTTCCGGAAGCCCTTTTACGCTGTTCATTTCCATGACTTTCTTTCGGCTCAAGGGTTTTACTTACTTGCGTTGGCACCTTTTGTCAAAGGACGAGTGGGAGTGAGCCTACGCAGGTCTACTCAGAGGTAAACCACATTGTGTTGAATGGGGCTTACTCCCCGGGAAGTGCTCGTAAGATTGCAGCCCATTTCACTCAGCAAGCCCATAAAAGCGACAGCACAACTCTCAAGATGAACCGGTTCGTAACTGCTTAAATAACCCAGTTACCTACTAACACCAGAGGGTGCAGCTGAGCTGTGGGGGACTTCATCCAGTCGTCGTTGGATAGTTCTATGGTGGCATCCACATGCTTGACTTCAGTGCAGAGAATCTCTGCCACGGTCTCTTTATCCCCAACGTCCAGGGCTTTCTTTAATCTTGTAACCAAATCAGAGTGGAGTGGATGATCGGGGACATGGTCCAAGTCGGGTTTTCCGTAATGTTTGGGAACCATTTCCCTCCCTCAGGGCAGAATTCAGCTAGCCGCAAATCCGATGGCCGGTGCAGCTTGCTAAAAATAGAACGAGCTTGTCTCCTCTTTCACCAGTGGGATTAGCAGAGGGGAGTGTGTGCATGTGACAGAGAGATGGATGATGAAATCATTGAAAAGAACCGAGAATGTACACCTTTTCCTGTGGAATTTGTAACAGAGAAACATGACGGAACATTCCCTCCCTAAGGACATGCGGGGAAAGTGCTGCTATGTTCACATTAAGTTGTGGGTACGTATTATCTTTCCCTGGACCACTTCCTAACATTGAACAAAGTTTGGCAGGTCAGGTCCAGGGTTGCCAGTTCTGGGTTGGGAAATTCCTGGAGATTTTAGGGGCGGAGCCTGTGGAGGGGAGGGTCTGGGGGGGAAAGGGACCTCACCAGGGTTATAATGCCATAGTGTCTGGCCCCCAAAGCAGCCTTTTTCTTCAGGGGAACTGATCTCTGTCATTTGGAGATCAGTTGTAATAGCGGGAGATCCCCAGGCCCCACCTGGAGGCTGGCAACCCTAGGTCAATAGGAAACTTTTTTTTTTTTGCACGCTTCCACTGACATAAGGGGTGGCAGGTTCTTTTTCGACATGCTACACAGTTTTTCTTTTAGATAACCTTTTGAGATCATATTCTCTCATTCCTTTACCTTTTAACTGTTGTCTTCTACACCCAGCTCCCCACTTCTATCCCAAATGTTACTAGAGACAGGGCAATCCTATTTTACATGAGCTTATATGTGGAAATGGATACATGTTTCTTACAGCTGCGATGTGTATGGTCAGTGCCAAATCTGAGACATTAAAATCTAAGACCTTTTTAGGCAGGAGAAATTCGAAGTGCAGAGTATGAAACCTAATTGCTAGACGAAAGTACTTAGTAAGAAAATCAAAACATGGGCACCCACCTCGAATTGTTTTGATTTCAAAATTCAGGACTGTGAAACTATTTTTTTGTACACCAGCGTGGTGTGGTGGTGAGAATTTTGGACTAGGATCCGGGTGATCCGGGTTTGAATCCCCATTCTGCCACAGATGGTCAATTGGTGAACTTGGGCCTATCACACAATCCCAGCCAAACCTACCTCACGGGTTTGTTTTAAGGATAAGATGTAGGAGAGGAGAATGATGTGTAAGCCACATCACTGGATCTCCACTGGGGGGAAAGGTGGGGTGTCTAAATGAAGTAAATAAATAAATAATGTGGCAGAATTTCAAGCTGAAAAATCAAATAACTGCTCTGGAAGACACGATACATTCTCAGGCACTGGAATCAAGTTTCAGGAACCAGTCTGTCAAACTTCTGGGTTTTTAAAACTATAACTCAATTCCCTGCACAAGCCTACCTAACTAACAGTGCCATCCAAAACAGGTCTTCTTAGACTCCTACTCAGGTCTATTCAGTAGGGCTTACTCCCAGGAAAGTTTTTTTAGGATCATATTGTAAATGCTTGTTCTTCAAAGCTTGGGAAATATGATGGCCCCGTCCACTTCCCTCCCTCCGAGGCAAGATTTTCCCTCCGTTTTTCTTTCCCTTTCTAATTGAGCAGCCCTAGTGATCTGTTTTCTTCTTCCCTGAAGAACTTTGGCTGTCCCACCCTGCGTCAGTATGATATTTTACTTCTGTCTCAGCCCAGGAACTTGAGGAAAGTATGAGGATCACCCTTTAACTTAAACTACTGAAAATGGCACTTGAGAGGTTTTAAAATTCAAAATCAACTGAATATTTTATTCAACATAGAGGGGAAAAGACAGGTGAAATCAGGGGTTGAAATTTCTGAAGTAACTCAATATACATAACTCTGAGGTAATGTGTGACAGTGACTTAAATCTTTATGTTGAGAAGCGTTTGTTCCAGTGTTTCCCAAACACTCCAATACACTTTCTTTGAGTATTCACTGACTCTTTGGTTTCCAGAAGGCTGTTATACACTTTTCAGTGCCCAAACCTCATCTCTTGAAACACCAGTACTTGTCTTGAGTTTTCAACTGACTCTTAAGGTCTCAAAAGGCAGTTTCTAATCACACCAGACCAGGGATCTCTGCACTCTTCAGAGCTAACTCCCTGTTTGACTGGGTAGGGAAATTCTCCTCTCATTAGGACCGATTTCACACAAGAGCTGTGCTGCGGTTGCACCTCCCTTTGCCCCGCTTCTATCGGTCAATTTCCCACTTGAAGCTGCGCGGCCGGTTTTAACCTGCGGCTTCGCCCGATTTCCCCCGCGGTTTCGTGATCCTGTTTTTTGAGGATCACGAAACTGTGGGGAAAATTGGGTGAAGCCGCGGGTTAAAACGCGGCCGCGCGGCTTTGAGTGGGAAATTGACCAATAGAAGCGGGGCAAAGGGAGACGTGACCGCAGTGCAGCTCTTGTGTGAAATCAGTCTAGAAGATCTATCCCCTTTCTTTGGCCTGAATGGGAGTCTCTGTCTAACTACCCACTAGCCCTTGCCAACTTTCCCCAGTTCTCCTGTCTGTGTTAAACTGCTTTCAGTCGGGGCTGAATTCCAAAACTGTCAGTACTCAACTCTTCTCAGCTAGGACCCAAATCAGACTGAATCTCTCCTCAGCATCCAGCTCTCGCAAGACTTTCTTAGCTCAGCTGATGTTAACCAATCAGATTGCTTGGAGCAGCCTGTCACTCAAGGCTCTCTGGCTCTGTGAAGAATTAACCCTTCACAGTCCTTTATCTGTTTGTACAGCACTTCTAAGCTTTTAAAAAGTGCAGTCTGTCATAGAAATGCTATGCCATTTGTTCACCTACTTTGTCATGACTATTGCTGGCTATTAACATAGCTAATGGCGCAGGGCCATTCTTGGTGCAACTGGGAACAGACCACGATCAGTGGTCAACTTGGGTCTTCTCTGTGTCCCAATTGATTACTTTGTCTTTTTTTAAAAAAATGGCTTTTGCTGTCATGATTTCAAAGCACGCGGGAGAGAAATTCCCTTCATCCCTGACCATGGCACAGAGGAAAGAGCTGGGCCCTCTTCCCACTGCGTTACACTGTGCCTCCAAGACAAAGAAAGTAACACTGAGTAAGTTTCACTTGAAAGTCCCCCAGTACAGAGAGATCCTCACTCTATGGGGATGGAAAGAGGAGAGAGAGCAGAGGCATATGCTTGCCCTAATGGAGGAGATGAGAGGAGTCATGCCGAGGAACGGGGAATATGGCCCTTGATGTGGGACCCTCCCACTTCAGATGGGAGACTTCACAGGTAGGCTCGCACTGTGATGTCTCAGTGAAAAGTAACCTTCATCTAGCCTCACTGGAGGAACAGTGGTGCCAAATGAATAATTTGGACTGACTTCTTATGAGACTTATCCACACAACATAAAATCACAGTTTTCGTGTGTGCGCGCGTGTGTGGGGAGAAGGTTTAAAGCCCATTCCACAAATCCTATTAAACATTACCAGCTCATTTTTCAGTCCCACTAACGTAAATCTAAATAATCTGAACTGCTTTGTGAACTGAGGAGTTCACTTCACAGCAGTAAAGCTCTTGACAGTGCTGAACGGGGCAGCGGTATGCCCAGAGAGAGCTCGCCGATGGGGTTCACCAGCGTTGAATAGAGTATGAGTGTAGCCTTTCCCTCCATTTGGCTTTATTTCACTTCTGTACTATTTTGATATCATTTTGTGAGATACTATACAGCTGAAACTCTTGGGCCATTTCTAGGACATGGATCTAACTTTAAATTTCCATAAATAGTTCGTTTTTTTGTACTCCGTTAATTCGGTCTTGACTATTGAGCGACTGTTTGGTTTTCCTCATCAAATTTTCAAAATTGGAACGATATCATTTGATCAAAGGGAACATTAAAAAGATTAAATATCTCTCACTTGAGTTGGTGGCTCACAGATTTATCAGACTGGTAGTTCTGCTGAGAATGGATGATGTGCAACCAGTTCCAGTCAAATGTAAAGCAGAAATCACATTTTCAGCTGAAACTCTGAATACATTTGGCCAGATTCCTTTGAGTGCTGTTTCATCCCCAATAAATTCCTTTGAACTTTGGAAAAGAGGCATGAAACATTTAAAATAAAGGGGGGGAATAAAGAAGGCTGTTGAAACACTGAGAACAAAGCTTGCTAAATTTATTAGTTGTTGTAGATTTTCTGGGCTGTATGGCCGTGGTCTTGGCATTGTAGTACCTGATGTTTCACCAGCAGCTGTGACTGGCATCCTCAGAGGTGTAACACAGAAAGATGGCGTACTCTCTGTGTCAAGGTGAGAAGAAAAATGGTAGGCAGGTAATTTATATCTACTCAGGAAGGTGGGGTAGGGCTGAGTCATTATCTTGTAGGAGTTTCCCAGGCTGTGACATGCTAATGGAGAAGCTTTCCTGAGGAGGTTCTTTTGCGTATGGATTGGCTGTTGAAATTCTAACCTTATCTGTAGTGCTGTTGTGAGATGTAGAGTATTTTGTGTTTTTCAGGACTGGAAACCATGCCCTATTTATTTTTAAACTCCCTTCCTGTTGAAACTGTGTTTATGTATTTCAATGGCTTCCCTGTGTAATCTGACATGGTAATTGGATGTGTTGTCCAGCTTTTTAGTGTCTTGGAATAAGATACTGTGTCCAGTCTGAGTTAGGCTATGTTCTAAGTTTATCAGACGAGATTCATGGTGAAGGATTTCTAATCTAATAAATAAATAGATCTGGATTGTTGGTTCCTCGAAATGACTTATTCCATTCCTTTTCAATACTCTGAAAATGATTTGTCCTCATTCATTAGTGAGGTCACTCATGGCATAATTGGATTCAAAACAGCTGTATCAAAAATACAGTGGTTAATTTTATTTTCTTCTTCATTTATTTATTTGAAACATTTGTTAGGTGACGTTCTCCCGTGCAGAACTCAAGGCAGATGATATAAATAAAACATGATGAAAAACCCAACACCACACACACACACACACACACACACATCCCATAAAAGTCATAGTTTAAAAATGCCAACTAGGACTGCCAGTAATAAAAGCTA